GTGATAGCAGATTTTAAATACCATTCGAAAGCAATATCTATATCCTTTTCAACAACATCTCCTTTTCGGTAATATTCGCCAACATAATACATTCTATCAGGAAGTCCCATCTCTGCTGTTTTTTTGTAGTATTCGAATGCCTTATGTGAATCTTTGTCGACTCCATACCCTTCTACATAACACGTTCCAACACTATATGTTGCAATAATATGTCCCATTTCTGCTGATTTTTTATAATATTCGAATGTTTTTTTTTCATTCTTTTCGACTCCAATTCCATTGAAATAACAATATCCAACATTATTTATTCCTCTAGCATCACCCATGTTTGCAGCTTTTTGATAATATTCAAATGCTTTTTGTTCATCCTTTTCAACTGCAATTCCAATTCGATAACAATCTCCAACATACCATATTCCACGAACATAAATACTAGCAGCTTTTTGATAATATTCGAATGCTTTTTGTTTATCTATTTTGACTCCAATTCCTTTACTATAACATAATCCAATATTAAATATTCCATAGATCTATGTGAGAAATCGGAGGAATTGGAAATTTAAATTCCCGATTAGTTCGGGTCCTGAAAACTCCGGAAATCCGAAAATATAGTGAATTCCCCATGATATGGAGATATGGTGATATGGTGATCTGTGACCGTTCTCATCTTTTGAAAACGGCTGTAATGAATTAGAATCAAATCAATAAGGAAGTGTCTATTTTAGAGGATTTAAGGGATATACCCGGGAAGCCGATACGATATAGATATTAGAATTATTATAAAAATCAATTGAAATGACATAGTAATTTCTTAAAGAAAATGTAAATGGTAATTCTCTCATAAATTGATATTTTAATTAAGAAACTTTTTCTTAAACTTTCATTTAAAAAAATCCAATCCTATAGTCTCGCTTTACAGTAAAAAACTTTCGCACAATAAATTATTTCTTATCATTAAAAAAAATTATGAAATTTTTTATAGTTATTATTCTTCTTGAATTAGCGAACTTGGGATTAGGAGATGACCTTTATTTATCAGCACAAGGATATAAAAATCACCCATTTAACAATATTACAATCGGATGTTTTAATGCAGTGCTACAATTCTCTCAGAACCTGAATTTTGCTGAATGTATAAATCTTCCAGCAATCATACCACTTATTGATAAGAAATATTTTGATGCAATTGAAAATTTTCTGAATGATCCCATAAAATATTTCCAAATTTTAGAACCTGCACTTACAAATCTTTCAACAAATTTTTGTAATTTTCCAAAATGTAATGATAGTTTCATTCAATCTTATGTTCAATCTATTTTTAAAGCATGTTCAACAGACCTCCTAAATCAGAATTTTTTAGTACAAATTATTTTGCTATTTTCGTTTTTTATTCACCTTTGCATGATTCAATATGCTTTGAAAATAAACAAAGCATTTTCTGTTATTGATCCAAAAACTGGAACAATATTGTCTCCATCGAATACTTCTGCCACTGGCACTAATTCTCTACCTACATCGCCTACAATCACCTAGTGATCTGAATTAGTAAAAAAAATTTAGTTGTCCATATTTTGACTAATTTTAATTAATTTTATTTCTACTTATTTTTTTGTTAAAATTAAAAGTTTATTTGATTCTCGATTTAAACTCTACAAGTGTCATAAATTCCCTACCCATGAAAGCTTTTTCTATAATAATATTATATAGGCATTTAATGACTGTTTCTATATTATTTTTTTATTACTAAGTATAATCTTTTAAACTTGAAAGATGTTATCTCGATAACCACCTATTCAGAATCAATTTTAATTCTATAGATTCATAGGAGTAAGTATAAAATTTTCATTGATTTTTGATAAGTACTTACTGAAATAACATTGCTCAAAGTTTGGAAAGAACCTAACCATCGTTTTTGTTTTCATAATTGCCTAAATTTTATTGAACTTTGGACGATGATATCGCGATAACTACTTATCAAAAATCGATGAAAATTTTTTATATTAGTTTTATGAATTCATAGAATTAAGAGTGATCTAGGGTGCTACTATGGTTAATGGTAATTGTTTACTAATTTCTGTCCGGAACTAACCTTTTTAATTTTTTCATTACAAAAATATAATTTTTTATAAAATAAGCCCGCATTATTGTGGACCAATTTTTATTTAATAAGCGGCTGCGATTTCATTAGTAAAATTATGAGTAATTCCGGCCTAATTTTTTGGTCGTCGCTCTTAGCTAATCAAAATCGAGGAACTGTGTGCGGTACCTGATTCTGCGCTACAACGGTTCCCATTTCAGGGTCACTATACAGTATCAGTACGCCAACAACAAATTTAGACGGTACTTGAGATATGTTAAACACAGTAGCAGTATCACTTTATTGAGATTGATAAATGCTATTTCTGTATTTGCATCTATATTGTTTTTTTTTTGCTTATGCAAAGAGATTCCTTTCGCTTATTGAGATCGATAATTTAGGAAGCTAATTTCTGATGTGCTAGTTTATGCATTATCTCTACATTTCCTGCAGTACTGAATCACAAAATATGGGTTACACGTATACTTGTTGGCCAAACCTGGACAAATCCCAAACCCTAAAAAATTATTGCTTGTAAAAAATTAATTCAAACAAATAATATTAAAATTTTACAGGTATATCATCTATAATAAGAATATAAATTTTCGAATATAAATTTTCGAGCTATAAACTAATAATCATTTAGAGGTTGGGATTTATCCAACAAGTATAGTCACACGATATCAACTAATAGTGGTCGAAGCGTGGTGAGATTTGGTTCGAGTGTTTAGTAGAGATGGGAAAATGCGCATTAATGCGCACGTTTATAAAATGCGCATGACATCGCATGATATAATTTTTTTTCCTCCGGAAAATATCGATGTTTTTTCCTCGACCCTTTTCATCTTTATGTTCATTCATTTTCTTTTCGGAATTTTTCAAAACTTCTGCATTCTTATTTCTTAATTTTGCCTGGCATTATACACTTGGCCTAAATTAAATATACTTTAATTTTCCTATATAAAATTTAGATTGGATAAAATGCGCACTAATGCGCACGATTGAGGAATCATGCGCCCATCTCTAGTGCTTAGGGTGTTAGATTAGAGCTCTATATCACGTCAGCTTAGGTTGGGATCACGGGATTAGACTACAAATTCTATAATTAATTTATTTGAGGTAGGAAATTAGGCAAACGCCTTGGAGAACCCTAACTGAGTTCTCCTTTAATAACGGTAACGCGCAAGGGTGCAATTTCAAATTTTGGCCCGAATTAAGCTTAATTCGGGCCAAATTTTGAAATTTAACCTCTGCGCGTTATTTCGAGTAAATACGGTATATACATTCTTTTCAATGTAATATTTAATTACCGCAATTAAAGAACAAATTACTTCTTTAATAAGTAGCTGAGAGATGCAGTCAGGCTAAACCAGGAATGACTAATTTAAAATTGTTGGGCAATTAGTATCAAATTCAGATACTTAAATAGATTTCAGGTACACGATTAAATACAGAATAGCTATATTGATATGAAGCGCTATAGAATCTTAATGTAATTTGCATATTTGCATATTTTATGATGTCAAATAATAAAAAGTTTAGTATTTTTATTGGCTGATAATTTATTATTGTGCTTATACGTAAATTTTACTTGTAGATTGTTATACTGTCAGAATAAATTAAAGTGAATAAAAGTTAAGGCCTAAATAAGAAATATTTAGCCCGATAAATAAGTTTTATGCTTATTTATTATATCAACATGAATTAAATAATGTTTTT